TAGATGTACTCAAGACGGCGTAACTTTTACAAATGTTAAGCTATGGCAATAAAATGTGATGGAAATGTCAATGATAGATGTGGCAACCTAACCAAAAAAACAGAACTCAAATCAGTTGACTCAGAGCATCACCTGGTGGCAATTCCGGGAACTTTTTGATCGAAGTAGTATGTACGATTATTAAATATCTTACAGTATAATTGGCTCGTAGCCCTTCTTTTATTTATTGATTTATTCTAATTGAGCCACATTAACAATTATTTTATTATATTATTTAATAAATGTATTGATAAGTATACTGATAATGTGTCAAAATTAAGGTCATCGGAGTGGAGTCCCCTGTTCGGTATATTTACCCTTTAAATGTTTAACTATTTAAATTCTTCATATTATTAATAATGGCGGGTCTATTAATTATATAAGGTAAATTGCATCTTAGTGAAATGAGTTAGTTTTCATTAAAAAGACTATAGTTTTGTTCGAATTAACCTTCTGAGTGAAAGTTGCACTAACTTTTTCCCGCGTATCTGAGAACACGAAATCATGCAACACAATTCATAGATATAGTTAATTTAAAGCTATGATCCAAATTCTCTGTTTCGAGTTAGCACGAAAGTATTTTTTATCATCCCAACTTTTGCCTTACACACAGCCTCTCTTTCTCTTTTTCTTATATTTTATTAATTTATATAAAATATGCCAATTGTAATATTAGACACAACTTTTAAGATAAAATAAATCAATAATTTAATTTATTATATTATATTTTATGCGTAATATAATTCGGTAGAAGCGATGGAAGGAAATTGATATTTTGCGAGAAAAATCAAAGAAACTTCTTGTAAAGCATAACTCTTTAATAAATATTGCATAAAATATAATATAAAACAAACAATAAATTCTTCTATGCATATTTAGTTGGATTTGTCATTTCGATGAACAATACAACATAGCGTGATAAAAGAATCATATACTTCTTTATAAACGCAATTTCAACGATTGCGTCTTTTGACGTAACCGTAATTACACCGCGTTTTTCGATTAATTACTCGCTGACTTCGTTAAAAGTACTGGCTGCGGGATTGCTATGCACTTCTCTGCGAAACGCGGCACGTTAAATTGCGACGTTAAGCTTACACGTACCACTTCGCAACTACGATGCGTCAGCCCCGAGTGACACAGCCAGAATAACGTGATGCCCTCGTACCGGGCGGAATTAGACGTATTTGAAAAAGTTTGATGTCAGTTTAAAAACTTCGGTCACTCTCACAATATATTAAATCAAGTAGCGAAGGATTTATTTTTACAAATAACATAATCGTGCTCCCTTCTTCTCTTAATATATTTATGTTAATGACGCATTGTAATCCCATAATGTTATCTATATAACTTTATGCTGTTAACAATTTTATTTTAATGTAAAAATTGTATATAATATTAAGAACAAGATATAAAAGAAGCTAGATTTTTTTAGAGAAATATTCCGTAACATTTTGTGACATGTGCATTTCATGCACCAAACATGTAAATAAATAATGTTCGTTTTCACCATGAACCAGATCTTGACAAATACTCACGAAACGAGATCAAACCTTCAACGAGTTCTTCATAGATTGCACGAGTGAAAATTTTTTTCTGTTGCGGAATTCGTTAATTATGATTTATTGCTCGCGTGCCCTAGAACTTTGGAAACTTATGCAGTTGTAAGCAACTGTAATTTCCTTGAATTTCCGTATAACGTGCATCTTTCGCACTAATTTCAGCTACAAACTTTTCCTCAACGTCGGTTAAGCCAAGCTAAAATAGTGAAGTCATCTCAAACATTCGTTTTATTATACCTCGTTCGTTTGCGTTCACAATTTTGTTACGGTCACTCTAATTTGTGTCCCATAATTATTATAGATATTATATATTATGCAAGCCTTTTGATATGTTATCACTTTTGTAACATACAACAGAAAATATAATATATGTCCGCCTGTACAATCCAAACAGCACCTTACAAAACAGAACAAACATCACAATTGCTTTGTATACTTCACAAAAAAATTAAGTGACTCACCTCGGGTTGACCCCGAG